CTTCCCATCCAGGCTGACAACCTTAGGTGGTGTAACACCCCAATTTTATTTACTAATTATTTTATTAGTATTTATTTTAATTATTATTATTATTTGGTTGATAATTATTTTATTATTTGATTTTATGTGTTTATGTGAATAATTGATTTAATTGGAATATATGTGTTATTTGAGTAATGGGGCTAGTAAGTGTGAGAATGGCATTATTAAGTATTAGGCCTTATATGTCGCATTAATGAGTGGGTGAGATAAGCCCAATAGAGAAAAATAAGGGTTAGTATGAGTTATAAAACAAAATATAATTAGAAGGGAATTAACAAGAGAAGAGAAGAGAAGAGAAGAGGAGAAAAAGAGGAAGAAAGAAGAAGAACCCTAGAAGTATCTACATCTAAGGTAAGGATGGTTATTATTTAATTTATGGGTATATGTAATGGTATGTGATGGATAGTAACATGAAATTAGGGATTTGATCTTCAAATGCTAATTTTTGACATGTTAGGGTTAGATTGAGATTCATAAATTTTGTGTTAGAAATTATATTTTAATATTTCTAATTGATGGTACATGTTACATATATGTTAATATGTATTTAATTCATGAAACATGGCTGAATAGATGGGTTTTAATGTCAAAATTCATAGGAGGTAGAAGCTGCCCTCGCATAATTTTTCTGTGTTCAGCAGAGGGCGCTTAGCGCATTCTGGGACAAAATGTTTTATATTTTATGTAATTGAAGAGAGTCTTGTATGCTTATGATTTATCATTGATTTACATGAATTTGAATAATTTATTCAATGTATTTTGAATTGGTTTTGGATGACTTTTAATGAGAAAGATGATACTTAATTTTGGTGTATATAATTGTTTGGAATTGATGTTGATTAATGAGAATATGGTTTAGACTTATTTGTTACATGTTATAATGATGTGAAGATGATTAATGTTATGGGAATGTATTGTGTGTGATTGATGACATGATATATATATATATATATATATATATATATATATATATATATATATATATATATATATATATATATATATATATATATATATATATATATATATATATATATATATATATATATATATATATATATATATATATGTGTGTGTGTGTGTGTGTGTGTGTGTGTGTGTGTGTGTGTGTGTGTGTGTGTGTGTGTGTGTGTGTGTGTGTGTGTGTGTGTGTGTGTGTGTGTGTGTGTGTGTGTGTGTGTGTGTGTGTGTGTGTGTGTGTGTGTGTGTGTGTGTGTGTGTGTGTGTGTGTGTGTGTGTGTGTGTGTGTGTGTGTGTGTGTGTGTGTGTGTGTGTGTGTGTGTGTGTGTGTGTGTGTGTGTGTGTGTGTGTATGTGTGTGTGTGTGTGTGTTTTGAATTCATGATGAATGTGAATAGCATGGTTTGACATTGTTTTTATGTGTTATTGTAATGTGTTGAATTGATGAATGCTATGAATGTGATTCATATGTGATCGATGACATGATGTGTGTATGTTTGTGTAAAAGGTGAAGATAATTCATATGTGATGAATTATGTGTTATATGCTTGTGATTAAGATATGGAGATGGTCTTAATTTGCATATATATATATATATATATATATATATATATATATATATATATATATATATATATATATATATATATATATATATATATATATATATATATATATATATATATATATATATATATATATATATATATATTTGCACATGCATTCATGGGAGGCCGATGCCCAATTGGTGACTCTGGTCCTATGGTGGGGATCTGGAGTGGTGTGAACTTTATCCTTCATAATTGGTGGTTATGGTCCTATGGTGGGGATCTAGAACAAGGTGAACCTAGTTGTTCATGTTTGTTACCACATGCATATTGCATTGAGTTGTATTGGAGTCACGTGTGTTGATGTGAAATGTTCAATTTGTGTGCATTATGTGATATTGGTGTGAATGTTTCATATGTGATAATTGTGAGTTCTTATCTATGAATTGTGAACCCTTCAGCAATGTTGTATATTCAATCATGTGAATTGTGTTAAAGTATGTGGAATACATGATTATGTGAAGTGTGGTGAATTCAATTGATGTATGTATGATTTTCATTTCTTATTATTATATATTTCTATAATTATATGAATTCTCACCCTTTTGTTGGAATTATTTTTTATACGACATCGCTCAGGTACCGAGGATAGCGGTGGTACTTCTATTAAGGAGTAGTTGGAGGAGCTAGTCCTTTATTTATCCGTTTTAGTAGGTAGTGAGTCATGCTCTGGTCTATGTAACTTGGGGAACATTTAGATTCAAGTTATTTTCATTATATTCATGTTTATTTGGGAGATGTTGTTATACTCTCTGGATATTTATGTTGTGTTGACATTATGTGATGGTTGGCCTTTGGCGACTAGTGATTTATAATATGATTGTTAGTATGGGATTTCAATCATAAGTATTATTATTTTGATTTGAGAATTAATCTGATGCAAGATGCATATCTCTTAGTGTATGTAACATGATTCTAGATGCGTGTTATGAATATGACCAGTGTATTTGTGTTGTTGTCATGAAGTAAGTGTGACACCCTTTTTGATATACATGATATTTACTCTGATTATGCCATTTATTTTATGCAGGGTTTAGAGGGTGTTACAGGTGAATCCCATCCTTTGACAACAACTTTCTAATCCTTTTCGTCCATAGACTTGATGAAAGCCATCATACTAACTTTCCAATAATCATAGTTAGTTCCATCAAGAATGGGTAGTCTGTTTCTAAATCTTATCCATTACACCAGAAAGTATCTTCCCTGAGTCTCACCCAGAATCAGAGCAAGATGCCTAGTCTGATACCAATTGAAATTCTGGTATTCAGCTCTCAGATGTCCTAAAAGATATCGAGACACCTTTCTCTGAACAAACCCAAAGTGACAAGGTACAAGATAAATAAAGTGCAGAAAAGTAAAGAACACGCGAGATTGTTAACCCAGTCAGGTGTACACCAACACCTACTCTGGGGACTACCAATCAAGGGACCAAGTTAACTACAATAGTATCAATTCGAAGCTAAAATTCCCCGCTTACAACTTCTCACTTAATCACTGCCCTTTCTTAACTTCTACCTAAGACTCACCTAGGTATGATACCCTTCTCAAATCCCTTTCAGTCACAAACCAGTGACTGACCAATTTTAAACACTTAGAAAAACACAGAAGTCAAACTTCAAAGAAACACAATGATTCACTTCTTAAAATCTTTGGAATGACTGACAGAACTTACAACTCAAAACAAAGTCCTACTCTTTTATCAATATGATAATCGAGATGCTCACAATAAACATACAAACCCTAAAACAATACAATGTAAGTTTTTCACACTTTCCCTATGGTTGAAGCCTTCTATTTATAATCTTCAATGAACTGGATTTGGGCTTCACATAAGCAATTGTATATGACATAGGCACTGTATAAAGTAAGCAAAAACTTCTGCACAAAAGTAGGACTCCAATGATTTGTTTCCTAAAATGTCTTAAAATTTAATTAAACCATTTATTCTGCTAACTGCAGATGGAATCTCTTGATTCTTGAGTATTGTATGATACACATAATATCCTAATATTCTCAGAATATTCAGAATCTATAAATAACCTAATAAGTCCAAGTAATCAGCTGAACAAACAAGATGTCAGATGACTTGGATAGGACGACGTGTCCAACGTGTTTCTAACTTAGTTTTACCAAAATTAATGCCAACCATAAGAACAGAGAATTAACACCAATGTTTGTAACAAGTAACTCCTTAGTTGGAACAGATAACTCCTTAGAATTTGGATGCATGCAACCCATAGAACTTTAAAAGAATGTGCACAAAAGGTATACAATAAAAGCGACTATGATGAAATGATATTTGTGGTAATAATGTATTTTAATATTCAGTGTAAACAATGTAATATTAAAAAAAAAAGCTTACCCACCTCATTTTTTTACTGAAACTGAGGGGTAAATATATTTTACCTCAGTTTTTGAGAAAACTGAATGGATAATTTTTGTGTAATTATCGATGATATTGATCATCGTCCTTAAACAAATTTTTGTCGTCCATATTATGAGTATCAACGCTCAAGACACTAACATTAGTGATCTGCGTGAAACATAAAAAACTTCCACTATAAAAGCATTCTAAATATAAAAAATTATAATGAAACATCTTGAAACACTTGAAACTATCTACATACAACACTTTAAGGTTTTCAAGAGTATTTTCAATGAAAAGATCTCTATGATAGATTGTAAGAGCAGAAAATTAGTTCGGTTTAAGGATTGTGTTCTTAAATATTTATTTGAGCATAAAATCATTTATTTATCAAAGCTTTTTTGTTTTGTTTTATATAAGAAACAAATGTCAACAAAAGCCATTGAAAATATACTTGCATCCCAACATTTTATCTTTCCTTGAATTCAATGATTTGAGGATCCAACATCTGATCTTTACTGGAATAATTGAATTCAAGGAAAGATCAAAAGAGTTATCTTATACTAGTACCATTTAACCTTAATTGATTCTTTTACATGAATATTAACTTTTTTTGTATCTGAGTAAGTATTTCTCATATTTTTTAGGGTTAAATACACTTTACCCCCTGCAATAGTAGCGAGTCTTAATTTACCCCCCTTTTAAAAAAAATTATTTTCGCCCCTTAACAAATATATATTCCAAAACAAAACAAAATCTTATAGCCCAAGATTCCCTTTGAGTTGCAGACGTGGCTTGTGATTGTTTGCTGACTAGGTAATTAAATCCCATATTGGACTATTTGTGTCTAGGGCTACCGTCTTCCTATTCTATCCATTTCCACCCTTTTCACAACCATTTCCATTGCAAATTGTTTCCTCTACCCCTTTTGTCCCTACCATCTTTCTCATTTCTTCTCTCCCTACCGTGTTGAACTATTTCCACTGCAAATCGTATCCTCAACCTTGATTTTGTCCCTAAGTTCAAATGGAGGATGCTAGCAAGAGTGTTGGAAGTTGCAATTCGTATGAGTATTCAAAGGTTCCTAGATGCGGATTTTGTTTTCTGATGAAGATGTGCTTTTCTAACACCGTAAAAAATCGTAATAGGAAATTCTGGAAATGTAGGAATGCTGGGGTAAGTTCCTGAATCTATGAGCTATCTAAACCTTTTTAGGAGTTTAATGTTGTTTTTGTTTGCAGATGGACAATAGTAGTGATCTATTTATTTGGGATGATGAAATTTCTCACTCTATTAGTGAAATCTCAAAATTCTGAACGTTATTGCAAACACTGTGATGTGGTAAAAGTGAAGTTTGAACTGACAGAAAGGAAACTGGGCAGATCCAAGTTGAAGATAGTTGCATTGAAAAGGAAAATTTTCCAACTAAATATGGCAATTTTGATGTCTTAGTTTATCTTTGCAGTGATGTACAACTATTTGTAATTTGAAGTGTAATATGTATTTGTAATTGTTTTTGCATAAGTGAAGTGTTATGTGTATTTGTAATATATTTTCAGTGTTGTACAATTATTTGTAATTTGAGGTGTTTGTTACATCAATGCAATATGATGTTTGTTTAATGTCAACTTTGATACAATAAGAGTGTTTCATTTTTCTTACAGTATTGCATTACCAGTTGAAATCATTAAATAACCTTATCAATTGAAACCAATATTGAAGTAGTCATTACATGAAGGCATAAGTCGAACAAAAGGATTGTGTCATTACAAAAGGGCATAACAGCCTAAAAATATCATAAAGACACAAACTATAACTTAATGCCAAAGTATCAAATAGACAAAATAAATAGTACAGACATAAGACTACTTCTTAGATTTCTTCATTGCATGTTTAGAACCACTTCCTTCTTCTTTTGTCAAATACATAGGTTGCTCGGGGTTTGAACATGGCCCTGTGATTGGTTTTTGAAACCACTGGAGTTTTATTCTTTCACTGGACCTCTTTCTCACTGGCTTGGCATCTTTCACTTTTTTCTTGTCGTTTTTGTCTGGTTTACCAACCACAGCATAACATTGTGTTGTGTTGATTTTAGGAATGCTTGAAATGAAATCATCAGTTATGTCTCCAAAATAGTCAAGTGGTTCAATTGCTGCAGTTTGAGTTTCACCAGTTTGTGTTGCAGTTTGTGTTGCAGCAGTGTGTATTGCAGTTTGAGTTCCACCAGTTTGTGTTGCAGTTTGAGTTGCAGCAGTGTGTATTGCAGTTTGAGTTCCACTAAATTGTACTGCACTTTGAATTGCACCAGTGTGTATTGCAGTTTGAGTTACACCAGTTTGTGCTACAATTTGAGTTGCACCAGTCTGTATTGGTGCCTCAGTTGTACCAGTTTCCCTGGCTTGTTGAACATCATCAATTGTACCTACCTTGACCTTCCTCTATAAATATAAACCACATTACTTGTTAGACCAAAATACATGATATGTCAGTTCAAAATACGCACTTATCATACCTTTCTCTTTAGTCCATTAGGATCTTGAGTTGTGCTTTTACATGTTTGAGCATTGTGACCAAATTTGTCACACTTAGTGCATCTGTAAGAAACACCTGGCAATCTCCTCCTTTTAGCACCCTCTTCACCACACTCCCTTATCCTTAACTTTCTTGGTCTTCCTGGACCTTTCTTGTACATAGGGGGTAAAATCTCCTCTGACTGAACTTTTGGCCACATTTCCTCGCCATTAATTTGACTCACAGAAAAACTATAGCATATTGCATACTTGTCTCTATAATAACAGTGATCAAAAAAATCCTCTGGATTTTGTTGCCTAAACCTAAAGCAGCAACAACATGCCTACAAGGAATACCAACTAAATCCTAGAAATTACAAGTACATGATTTCTTAGAAATGTCAACTATAAATTCCTGATTGTTATAGGAATGAGTGACTTGGAATTTTTCATCTATAACCCAAGTAGGCGGTCATTGACCACTAAACATAATCTCATTATCAAGTCTTTTTCTAGGAATTGGCATAACCTTATGAGGCCATTTTTTAAGCTTCATGGCATAAGTAGAGCATATGTTCATTAAATACTTCCTAATCCACTCACACATTGTTAAAATTGGTTTATCCCTAACACTTAATATGGTGGAATTAAAGGACTCGGAAATATTGTTCATAAGTACATTACACTTAGGGTAGAAACTGAAAGCATGCTTACACCAAACCTTTGGAGGAATACCCATTAACTAAGTCCAAGCATTATGATCTACCACCTTTAGCTCATTCATCTTTTGTAACCATCCCTGATAGTATGTAGACTTTGCAGCCCCCATCATTAGATCTCTAATCAAAGCTCCATCTCCAAATATTTTCTTGAAATTTTCATAAAGATGCCTTAAACACAACTTATGCTCTATCCTTTCAAATGTCCCTCAAGCACAGCTACCAAACCCTGAAACATTGCGTAACATCAATGCAAAGTAAAGAATGCATAACATATAACTTAATGACATAAAGGTATACCTTTTGTTGATCAAATATAAACATGAATCTCTTGTCCTGGCCTACATCTGTCATCAACAACTCAAGAAACCACCTCCAGCTTTCTTTGGTTTCAGTCTCAACCACCCCAAAGGCCAAAGGAAAATACTGATCATTTGGGTCCCTACCCACAACAATTAATAACTGACCCCCATAATTTGTTTTTAGATGACAACCATCAACTCCAACAAAGGGTCTACAACCATTAATGAAACACTTTTTACAACCACCAAAGCAAAAATAAATGGAACCAAACTCTGGCTCAATAGATGGACTTGGTCTTTCTACAGTGATACTCAAAGTGTTCCCAATATTCACTCTATGTAATTCTGCAGCATATCTCCTTAAATTTGCATATTGTTTGCCTGCATCTCCTTCAAACATCTTCTTGGCTATGAGTTTAGTCTTCCATGCCCTAGCCACCATGATTCCCATAGAATAATTTTTCCTCAAGTCTTGAATTATATCACAGATCCTAACATTATCAGAAGTTTGCATTTTCTTCAACACGACCTTAGCCACCCACCTTGAACTTGGAGATTTGTTGTCTAAAACCCTAGCACATGTGTGTTTGTCAACTATGGTTTTTATAGCATAAGTGATATTATGCCCCACTTTGGAGCACAACATTAAAAACGCACAATTGACCCTACATACTACCCTTACTCTGTCACTTTCATTTTTTACAAACGTAATTTCCCTCCCATTTAATACTGACCACTCACAGATGGCATATCTAAAATCATCTAGGGAGTTGAATTGCATACCCCACTGAAATTTAAAAATTCTTATTTAAATGCTTTTTCCTGAACTTTTAAAACTTTGGCACTTTCCCTTTATCACTATCTGATAAATCTGAGTCAGAGCTATCCAGCTCATCACTCACATATTCTTCATCCTCACAACTTTTCTGTTTGGACCCGGTCATAAACTCACCAACTGAAGGGCTCTCATTAATGGGTTTAGTTACATCAATCCCTTCAAAACCATCTAGGATAGCAGTGGCTCATTCATCCTCACTATCACCCAACCCTCCTACTAAATCATCATCACATCCTTCCATCTCAACATTCTCATTGAAACACCTTGGACTACTTACTGAGGCTCCAATATCAATAACATTATGCTCCATAAAAATTTTCCCCGTCTAGTTGGGTTGCACACGCGTATGCAGCAAAATCGTAACAATCATCATCCTTCCTAATTTGGAAATAACTATCATCTATTTCACGAATTAAAGTCCATGTTCTATATGTTCCCTGCTTGTAACGCCAACCGGTAACCAACCCATGGATGTTAAGCATTGTCAAATGATCCATGTGGAGATCCAAAACTAAAGTACTTACACCCCCTCTACAAATCGTAACCCCATTGTTCAACATTACAAATTCACCTCCATGGTGGAATACAGCATTGAACAGTTGATTATTCTGAAATCATTTGGGAAAACATTAAAAAACTAACATTTAACTGTATATATGAGTAAACAAACAAGCAGCTGAAAAAACTTACCTTATCAGCATCAACCGAAACGCCTTCTTCGTCGTGCTTCTTCGGTTGCCTTGAATGATTCACCTTCTTCGGGTGCTTCTTCTTCTTCGCTGCATGTTTCTTCCCCATAATGAGCTTGCTAACTTTTTATGATAGTGAACCAAACTTTTCAAGTGGGTGAATCAATATACAAAAGATGTTATAAGTAATAGACACAAACAGTCCAAGGTGGCATTTAATTACCTAGTCAATAAATAATCAAAAGCCATGTCTGCAACACAAAGGGAATCTTGAGCTATAAGATTTTTTGTTTTGGAATCTATATTTGTTAAAAGGCGGAAAGAAAAAAAATTTAAAAGGGGGGTAAATTAAAAGTCACTACTATTGCAGGGGGTAAAGTGCATTTAACCCTATTTTTTATGATATTTAGTTTATGCTTCTTATATCAATGTGTCATACCCCAAATTAGCTCTACCCTTATATTATATTTAGGGTTCTTTTTTTAAATAAAACGTATTGTTTAATTTTTGTTTCTACGGGGGTATAAAGCATGGAAGAGGGGTTTGTTGATTTAGAATGGACCATCAATATCTTATGTCCCATTAGGTTTTTAAGAAAGGGTCCATTGCAAGTTAAGGGAAGTGTTTTGTTTTAAAAGTGTGAACAAATCATTTTTTTATATAAGGCCCATTTAGGTTTTTTGGATAAGATCGAATGCATATATTAAGAAATTTGTTTTTTGTTTAAAGGCCCAATGAAATAAAACAGTATGGCCCATTACAAGTTTTTTTGGATTTGTTTTCAAAAAATGTTTGATTACATTATTATTATTATTATTATTATTATTATTATTATTATTATTATTATTATTATTATTATTATTATTATTATTATTATTATTATTATTATTATTATTATTATTATTATTATTATTATTATTATTATTGTGTTTATGTTTATTATAATAATTATTGTTATTAAACTTTACTATTTTTAATTATGATTAAGACTTATTATAAAGAAAGCTTAATAAAAGAATGTTGTTTTGTTTTACTAATTAGAATAAGAGTGATAATGAAAGGAGTTTTATTTTCTTCTCCATGGTCGACCTCCAGGCGCAATAGAAATCATGTATGGCCCAAAGTCTAAAAGCATTCTTTTAGGTAGCAGGAAAACAGCTATTGTGCAGATTAATCATAAAAATGCGTGTTTTTAAAAAAGGAACAAATATGGTTTTCATTTAAACCAATACATTTTCATCTTCAGAACGAAGCAGAT